AAAAAAAATAAAGAAGCTGGCTCCAAATGTGTCAATGACAGTTTACACAAATATCTTAAGGGTTGGGGACAGGAAAAGTGGGTCATTAGAAGAGCACTGAAGACATAGTACGGATAAAAACAAATGATAATTCATTTGCTTGCACAAAATTTGTTCTCGAGTTTTCCATCAAACACAAGGTTTGCTCCTTCCTACATAAAAGCATTATTGGAATGAACAACTATGCCAGCTCCTCCCTAGACATTTCAATGGGTGGAGATGGTAAACATCATTAGTGACATAAAGAGTCATCATTAGGAGATATGAAGGGACAATTGGTTCACTTGAGTCGTGCCACTGTCCCTCAAATCCCAGAATCAAACATACACAAATACAAGCCACACACAAAGGAGGTAAGTTCTTGTATTGAAATGTATCATATAGTTAGTGTAGGGCAAAATGTGACTATGTTCTCAAGCTCATTCTGTGTTTTACTTATTTTCTTATGACCCTGTATTTCATGGCAAGCACCACACTCGGTTCTAAGTCTTCATGGGGAACCAGTTAGGTCGTCCTCTATGCCAATGGAGCTGAAGCATTCAGGAGATGGTTCCCCAAAGATAATAATGCGAATTAGCCTAGTTAAGAGGTCATGGAACAAGGGGGAGAGAGAGGTCTGATGTAGGTACTCTGCCTAAACATCTCATTAGTAAAACTAAGAACATAAGACGTTAGGAGAGGGTTTATGTAGCACTGGAAAAAAAATGTTTTAAAGTAAATGAGTCTATAGGAAATTAAGCTTGTATTTTAAAATTTGCTTGAATCTGGGAGGGAAGTGTTATATAACGATATCAGACAATCTCAGTGAAATGGAGAAATCTGACTTGGCATAAAAGTAGGTTAGTTATAGGAACAATGTTGACAATAAGAATAAAATTAAAACCCATTTAAAATTAGAAACCTATATTTATTTAAGTAAATGCTAACATTTTTGTTCAATAAGTTAGAATCTCATTGATATATAAATATCTGATTTACTCAAATAAAAAATATCAAGTAAGATTTTTAAGAACTCTAAATTGAGAGTTGAAAAGGAAAATAAGTAACCTGAATTCATTTCTACCCCTACATGAACAGTTTTTATAAAGAAATTTAACAAAATTTGTTGACTGAAAATGTTAACACAATGATATGCACAGAATATAAAATGCATAAGAATAGCTGAGAAAATTTTTGAAAGAGAATATTGACAGATTTGTATTACCTAATTTACATATATAATGTACATATATATTGTCATTAAAACAAGACATTAGCATAAAATATAAGAAAAAGTAAAAGACAAAAGCCCAGAAACATAACAGTTGTATCATAAAAAACATCTGATAGATCATGTTGGAAATAAATTTAAGCAAAATAAAATAAGTGATAGGTGAAAAGTGGTTAAATGTAAAAATTGTAATTATCATCAGCAGCAACTAACACACTATTAAGAAATACAAATAGTCAATAAACAGATGGTCAAAGAGTTCATCACACTAGTAATCAAAGAAATGTTCAGTCCAATAGTAATAAGAATGCATTTGCCTTTAATCAGCTTTTAATGATTTGTAAATTATGTTGGTAAAACTGGGGAAAGAAATAGGAACTCTTCTATACTGCTCATACGACTCTAATTTGGAATACTCTTTTGATGATCCAATCAAAATAATGAAAAACTTTTGAAATGTTCTATTCTTTGTCTCAGCAGCTCCCCTTTAAGGAAATTAAGCTGTGAATATAATAAAACTCATGTGACAAGACCTTAATACACAAATATTCATTAAAGTATTGTTTAAAATAACAAAAAATATATTTAAAGCATTTAGAGTGTAGAGCCATATGAGAACAGTTTCAACCAGGAAGAAAACAATTTC